CGCCATTATACTCCAGCCTGGGCAACAAGAGGGAAACTCTGTCTCAAAAAAAAATTGCTGAAAACCAAAGACTGAAAAAAAATCTTAAAAGCAGACCAAAAAAAAAAAAAAAAAACTAGTTAGACTAGACTACCTTGAAAGGGAGCAACAAAAAGACTAACAGTCAACTCCTCCATCAAAACAATAGAGGCCAGAGGATGATGGAATAATATCCACACATAAAAAGGATAAAAAGAAAAAAAAAACCAAAGCTGGTGTTTCCAAAAGATCAATAAACTAGGTATTTGTAAGGATATGGAGCAATTGAAACCTTATTCATGCTGGTGTGGGTGTAAAGGGTACTATCACTTTGGAAAACTAGCAGAATCTAGTAAAGCTGAACATGTGGATTCCTATAACCCAGCAACTTCATGTCTAGGCCTATACTCAATAGAAATGCAGGCGTAAGTCCCATAAGGGTGCCCTCACTTCAGATGCCAGTTGCAAGTATTGGGTGCCTAGGGTACACAGACTTCTGTTCAACCTGCCTACAAAATCACGGGTTCCCCCACACACATCTCCTTCACATTTGACCATGTGCTGAAATGGCTCACAGAACTCAGGACACTTTACTTACCATCACTGATCTATTATAAAAGACACAACTCAGCAACAGCCAAATGAAAGAGATGCATAAGCTAAGGTATGGGGCTGGGGGGTGCACAGAGCCTCCATGCCTTCTCTGAGCACACCACTCTCCCAGCACCTTGGTGTAGTCAACAACCTGGAAGCTCTCCAAATCCCATAATTTAGGGATGTTCATGGAGATTTCATTATATAGGCATGGCTGATTAGATCACTAGCCTTTGTTGATCTCCAATCTCCAGCCCCTCTTCCCTCCCCAAGGGTGGCGAGGATGGACGTCTGAAAGCTCCAAACCTCGAAATAATTTATGCCTTGATCTTTCTGGCAACCATCCCCCACGCTGAAGCTGTCTAGGGCTCCCAGCCACCAGTCATTTCACTTGCGTACACAAGATACTTTTATCACTCCAGAGTTCAAGGATTTGAGAAGCTGTGTGCCAGGAACCAGAGACAAAGAACAATATTGTAACAAAACATCTGTTCCTGTGACCCCTGTCACTCAGGAAATTACAAGTGTTTTGGAAGCTTTGTGTCAGGAACCAGGGACAATGACCAAAGACAGTCACTGGTTTTTTGTCAAAGATTAAAGAGCAACAAAATGATGTTTTGGGACAAAAATGGATTGCATATATGACAGTATTCCCATAAGATTATAATACTGTATTTTTACTGCACCATTACTATGTTTAGATATGTTTAGATACACAAATGCTTACTATTACATTACATTACTTATAGTATTCAGCACAGTACCTGCTACACAGGATTGCAGCCTAGGAGAAATAGGTTCTACCATATGGCCTAGGTGTGTAGTAGCTATATCATCTAGATTTGTATAAGTACATTCCATGATGTTTGCACAATTATGGAATTGCCCATTGACACATTCTCAGAACATATCCCCATTGTGTTAAATATACACAACTGTATATTTCTCTTATTGTATTAGAGTTAATCTAATAAACCACACGGCAATTACCATATTTAATGATACAGTGCCAAAAGCTTTTCCTCTGAGACTAAGAACAAGACATGGGTTTCCCCTACCTCCCCTTTCATCCAGCCTTGTACAGGAATTCCTAGCTAGAGTCATAAGGTGAGAAAAAGAAACAAAATATTTAAAAATTAAGAAGAAATGAAACTGTCAATATTCACAGTTTATATAATGGTGTGCCTAGAAAATCCAAAATAATCTGTGGATAAATAAATGATTAAAATTAATAATTACTGATCATAAAAAAGTAGAATGCAAATATGAATTGTCTTTCTACATAACAATAAAAAATAAAATAATTAAAATAAAAATTAAAGATACCAATTACAAGAGCATCTAAAAATATCAAGTACCTAGCAATAAATCCAGCAAAAAATAGGTAAGGTCTCTATGGGGAAAATTATAAATCTTTACGGGGAGACATTAAAGACCTAAATAGAGAGAGAGCGAACATGTTCATGGATAGGAAAACGCAATACGACAGGATGTCCATTTGCCTCAGATTAATCTACAGGATCAATGCAATCACAATCAAAATCTCAATTGTCGCTGTTTTGTTGTTTTTGTTGTTGTTGGAATTTGACATTCTGATTCATTTTTTGAGTGTGACTCATTACACACTTAGTGTAAAATCCTTTGTTGCAGCGATTCTTCTATTATTTCTGTGATGTAAGCCGGTAAAGCAAAGTCTGACAAAATCTACCTGGTTGAGGGAGAAATACAAACTAGAGAAGAGAAACAAATTGCTATGAATAAATCAGGATGTGTATGAAGTTTGTCTTTCAGCATTTCTGTTGCTCGACTGCTTCAAACACCAGGCCCCTTGCAGCCTAGTGGTTAGGATGTGGCGCTCTCAAACGCCCTTGCTGAGCAGTAGACCTGGGCCAAAAACTTGAGATTCTTTCATCATCAGAAAAACGTACAGTATATAAAATTTCCATATAATTTCAGGGGGAACCCAGAAATCCTAAAACTCATCCCTGACTTTGAAAGATCCTGAGAACCCAAATTTAACAACCCTAAACAAAGCAAGACTGATTGAATTATCTTCTACTGATTTCTTTTATCATCTTAAATCTTTCACTTTCTTCTTATTTTTGCAATAGCTCTTTATCTTTTAAAGGAAATTAACACAAAAAAAAGAAGAAAGGAAGAGGGAGAATGGAAACGGTATAGTTACAGATCAATCCGTTCGAGCCATACAGATTGAAAAATACTCTATATTTTCATTATTCTAAATAACTGTGGCATTGCTTTACATTTACAATGTATTACTTAAAGTCACTTACTTGAAAATGAATCAATGGCAGTATACTTGAGAAGCATTTCTGAAAAAGGTCATTAGTGGTCAATCCAATTGTTAAATGCATAAGAAAATACAAGTTGACTTACAAAGAGGTTATACATTGCCATGGTACGGTATCGCTCCTGGACGTCCCTGTATCTTAATTCCATGACTAGAGATTTACTTCTAATTTCTGCAATTGTTGCAAGGACAAACTTGAGATCTTCAAGGGTATTGGGGATCTTCCTAAGGCTTTTGGCCAGGTGCTATAACAGAAAGTACAAAGAACACTAAGCAAACACAGAAAAAACAGTAATGACGCAAAAGAAGACCCAATTCACACGAAAAGTAGTTCAATTACACACAGCGATTGAGTACCTCCATCTCTTCATGGAGACTATAGAGCTCCTCTTTTGCTGACTCATTGAGAAGTTTTCCAAGCGAAATCACCCAGGACTTGGCATTTTCCTGCACTGTGTTTGCCAGATGCCCGAGCTGAAGTCTGATGCAATGCTCATCCTTAATTAGAGGGTGGCGCATAACCTCATAGGCTATCTTGGAATAGAACTGCAATTTTTCATCATATGCTACACAAGGAGGTTTCTTGGAGGCAAATTTCTCCATCACAATAGCTTTGTCCAATTTCCAGAGAGGTCGATACCGCTTCCATTTTTGTAGATACTTCATAAGATTGATCAGAATCCTGTGGACATTTTGGGGGATCATAACAGCTTGTTCAATTATCTGAGGGTTCAGAGAGATATCATTGTAAAAGTTTATTATAACAACTTCTTCTTCCTCCCCCTTCTGAGGGGGGCATTCTATGCAGCTGCCATTCATCCAACGAACAAAATGCTGGCAAAGTAAGAATTAGGAGAAAAGATAGTATTTTAGTATCTATTTTGCCTCCAACGTATATATTAGTATTCAGTAATAAGTCTTGCCAGTAATGGAAAATCACTTTAAAAATTACCATAATCCTTTGTTCCTTTCATCAAGAGATGGAGCCTATTTCCCTTCCAGAGCAAGCCTTGTGGCTTAACTTGACCAATGGAAAGGGGTGGACATGGTGTTATGCAAGTTCAAACCAAGGATTCTAGAAAGCCCTGTGGCTTCTGCTCTCATTCTCTCAGAACCTTGCAACCACCAGCTCGAGCTAGCCTACTACATTACGTAAGGCCATATACAGGAGAATCCCAGCCGCCGGCCATCAGAGCTGTGCTTGAGGTCATCAACTGCTAGATACATGAGTGAGTCCAGCCAAGACCAGAAGAACTGCTCAGCGGAACCCAGCCCACAGAACCCAGAGTTAAATGATTATTGCTTTAAGCCAGTAAGTTTTGAAGTGGTTTGTTATAAAATAAAAGCCAACTACACTATGGATGAATTTTAAAAACCTTTATTTCCATATATACAGAGGAAAAAACACATATTCAGGCAAATTGACTGCTTAGTGTCCCAGAACAAATCTGTTAATTTGACATCTCCCTGTTGTAGAGTTAAGGCTCTGCTTTTTGTTTGTTTGTTTTGTTGTTGTTGTTGTTGTTGTTTGAGGCGGAGTTTCGCTCTGTCGCCCAGGCTGGAGTGCAGTGGCACAATCTCAGCTCACTGCAAGCTCTGCCTCCTGGGTTCACGCCATTCTCCTGCCTCAGCCTCCCGAGTAGCTGGGACTACAGGTGCCCGCCACCACGCCTGGCTAATTTTTTGTATTTTTAGTAGAGATGGGGTTTTACCGTGTTAGCCAGGATGGTCTCAATCTCCTGACCTCATGATCCGCCCACCTCAGCCTCCCAAAGTATTGGGATTACAGGCGTGAGCCACTGCGCCTGGCCAAGGCTCTGTTTTAATCAAGTGTGAGTTCTAACAGCAAACCATGGATATGTTACACATTGCTTCTCTGAACAGTAGGCTCACCATCTGTAAAATGTGAATAACAGCTACTATAGGTTGGTGCAAAAGTAGTTGCAGTTTTGCCAATACTTTTAATGGTAAAAACCACAGCTATTTTTGCACCGACCTAATACTTCTATTTCCAATATTACTAATAATAGTAATACAAACACTAGGTGGGGCGTGGTGACTCACACCTGTAATCCCAGCACTTTGGCAGGCAGAGGCAGGCGGATCACGATGTCAAGAGATCAAAACTATCCTGGCCAAAATAGTGAAACCCTGTCTCTACTAAAAATACAAAAATTAGGCCAGGGTCAGTGGCTCACGCCTGTAATCCCAGCACTTTGGGAGGCTGAGGCAGACAGATCATGAGGTCAGGAGATCGAGACCAAACTGGCTAACATGGTGAAACCCCATCTCTACTAAAAAAATACAAAAAGTTAGCTGGGCATGGTGGCCGGCGCCTATGGTCCCAGCTACTGGGGAGGTTGAGGCAGGAGAATGGCATGAACCCAGGAGGCAGAGCTTGCAGCGAGCAGAGATTGTGCCACTGCACTCCAGCCTGGGTGAAAGAGCGAGACTCTGTCTCAAAAAAATAAAATAAAAATACAAAAATTAGCTGGGCGTGGTGGCATATGCCCGTAGTCCCAGCTACTCGGGAGGCTGAGGCAGAAGAATCACTCAAACCCGGGAGGTGGAGGCTGCAGTGAGCCGAGATCACACCACTGCACTTCAGCCTGGCAAAAGAGCAAGAATTCATCTCAAAAAAAAAAAAAAAAAAAAGGTAATACTAACACTAATCGCTAACATTTATTCAGAGCTACTGATTGCCAAACAGTGCACTAAGCTGTACACACATGTTATATAATTTAATCCTCCCGACAGCACTAGAAGGTGAATATATTATCATTTTCCACTTAGTCGATGAGGTAAAATTCAGAATCTAGTTAAAACTTCGGCTCATTATATTCTGCCATGAAATAGGAATCCTGAAGATGAAAGAGTTCAACCATATTAAGTGGCCTAGTCATGCATGTTCATTTGCCGAGATCTTTTTAACGAAATACATTTCTAATGTTATCTAAGAGAATAAGTAAAAATTCTTCTCATTTAAAAGAAACTTATGAAACTAAAATAATACAGGCTTCACTACAAGCCTCAAATCCATCTATTAGTAAGGAGGAAAGTTAAGTTGGCATGAAATATTGTGATTAATATTCATAATGTTTTACAAGCCAACTTTCCTATTTATGTACCCCTTAAAAATTGCTGTTTCCCTTACAAAGGAAACATACATAGCACCTATAAGATATAGCACCTATAAGAGAATTTATGTAACAGAGGCTTAATAAATAACTGTCTTAGCATGGATTATAAAACATGTACTGTTTATTCATCAGTTTTTTTTTCTTTTTTGAGACAGAGTCTCGCTCTCTCCCCCAGGCTGGAGTGCGGTGGTGCGATCTCAGCTCACTGCGAGCTCCAACTCCT